AAGACACATCATAATTAAAATGCCAAAGGTTAAAGACAAAGAGAGAATCTTAAAAGCAGCAAGAGAAAAGCAGTTAGTTACCTACAAGGGAGCACCCATATGACTGTCAACTGATTTCTCAACAGAAACCTTGTAGGCCAGACGGGCGTGGCAAGAAATATTCAAAGTGATGAAAAACATGGAACTACAACCAAGATTGCTCTACCCAGCAAAGCTATCATTTAGAACTGAAGGTCAGATAAAGAGCTTCACAGATAAGAAAAAGCTAAAGGAGTTCATCACCACCAGACCAGCACTACAGGAAATGTTGAAGGGTCTTCTTGAAGAAGAAGCTAATGAACAAAAGGATCTGATGAACTAAATAGATCCAGAGACATTGATGCAGGCAACAGATGATCATATTTCAGAGGGAAGAGGGAAGGGGGTGGAGGGTGGGAAGAGATTAACCAAAGAAACTATATGCATATATGCATAACCCATGGACACAGTCAATAACAGGGTGAAGGCCTGAGGATGGGGTGGGAGCAAAATGAATGGGGTCAATTGGGGGGAAAAATGGGACACCTGTAATACTCTCAACAATAAAGATAAATAAATAAAAATAAAAAAAATATATACTGGATAGTAAAAGAAAAAAATTTAAAAATCATTTAAATAATAATTTAGTCATTCGGTTATGATGTGTGCTCAGCAGCTGTTGGGATATACAGTATCTCAAATCCTGTTACAAAGGGACTCCAAAGACCATCCAAATGGTTTCATTTTATTAAATACTGGTTGAAATGAATGGATCACATAGCTGGACTTGGAAAGATTTGTTTTAGTAAGGTTAGTAGTGCAATGACTACAACATGATTTTGTCTATAGGCCACATAAGCTCAGATTGTGATATGGTGGCTCACCTATGCAAGGACAAGATTCAGGTCAGAGACTGAAAGTAAAAAAAGCCCTCAAAATAACAAACACGTGGATGCTCTTTGCTGGAATTGAATACCAAATTGACACCTATGGCTGGTGTTGTGAGAGGTTATTTTGAAGTGCCTGCCACAAGATAGAAGAGTTTCTAAGAAGACGCGATACCCTGATCCTGGTTATAGCTTCCAGATACGTTCTTTTTCTTTTTTTAGAAAAAATATCTTTATTGATTTCAGAGAGAGGAAGAGGGGGAGAGAGAAACATCAATGCTGAGAGAGTCACTGACTGGCTGCCTCCTGCATGCCCCTGACTGGGGATCAACCCCACAACCCGGGCATGTGCCCTGACTGGGAATCGAACCCCAATCTCCTGGATCCTAGGTCGATACTCAACCACTGAGCCATGCCAGCTGGGCCCAGATACTTTCTGATCGAGTATGGCCTGAGACCAAGGTTGACACAATATTTCAGTTTCATTACTAGCTTCCTTCTCACATTTGCTACGTGACCAATGAGAGGGAGCATACCAGCATGTATGTGCATAACATGCAGTGCTGTGTAAGGTACTATAAAGAAGATGGGTACCAAAACAACCTAACATAGCAGTTCTCAAATTTAGGTCTCAGGACCCCTTCACACTTAAGAATTATTGAGGACCTAAGAAATTCCATTCACATACATGTTATACCTATAGATATTTACATATAGTATTAGAAAGTAAAACAGAAATATTAAATATTTATTAATTCACTTAAAAATAATAATCCATTATACATAACATATTTTATGAAAAACAACATTTTCCTCAACAAAAAATAATTTAGTGAGAAGAGTGGGATTGTTTTTCCCTTTTACAAAGCTCTATAATATCTGGCTTAGTAGAAGACACATAGATTTGCACATCTCCCTCTGCATTCAGTCTTTGTTGAGGTAAATGAAGACAATCTGGCCTCACATGGACAAGGGAGGATCATTTTAATAGCCTTTTGTGGCTATTCTTTGAGAATACACTAAAACCATACAAGTGGTAGCTCCTTAAAAGTTAGTTGAAAAGTGGAATTTGAAAACATTATTAATAAACATTTCGTACTCTCTTACATTAAAATCCATTGGTCTATCTTGAAATCTTAATGGGTCTTTTACCCATACAGAATTCTGTAACGTCATTTGGACAATGATGAGTCATAGTATAGCCTCTAAATGTTAACACATTTCATTATACAATATAAAAGAATCACAATTGTTAATATCATTACTGGTCTCATCAGAAAAGTTATGAAAAACTGTCAAGCTCACAGTAGCAGATATACATTTTCCAAAATTCTCACTGTCACTTGAAAGTTCAAATTTTATCATTGGCGACAATCATTGTCAGCTGTTTTCCTTGAAGTGACAGGCTCACTCTGTTCATTTTTGACAAAACATGTGCCACATATCCAAGTCTGAATAACCATAGCCTGTCTGTCAGTTGTTCTTTCAAGTATAAATGAAGTTCCATGCAGAGGCCTGCTGTGCCCACCCTCCAATAGTCACCAAGCACCTTTCCTCGAGACACCACACCCCTGCACGCTGCACACCCGCAGTGTTCTTTCCACTCCGTCACACATATGAAACATCGCTGGACTCAAGGGTGTAGATTTCATAAAATGAACACTTTTTACTGCTTTATCAAAGCCATTCTTAAGTAAGACTCGATTTTTAAAGCTGTGAGTGTGTGGTGGTGAAGTATACAGTGACCACTGCTATAGGTTCGTACCACTGCTTTTATTCAAACCAAGCTGTCAGCAGTTTTGTCCACTGTTACTTTTGCACTGCCATGGCAAATAAATCTTAATATTATTATGAAAATAGTTTTGATCAGACTCCCTAAAAGAGTCTTAGAGACCCCCAGGGGTTTGGAGACCACACTTTGAACAACCTGGTCTAATATGTGGTCCTATGCTTCAACAAGCTTATAATCTTTCTAGATCGACAAGACTGATAAAGGTAAAACAGTTAATAAATATAAACATAACATATGTCATCTGTACCACATGATTGAGTACTGTAACCTCTGAAGGAGTTTAGAGAAGACGGAGATTAGTGAGGGATGAAGGGTTAGGGAAGGCTTCTTGGAAGACGTGGGCCAGAACATTTCAGGGTTGCTGTCTGTCATACGCCCTTTCCCGTTGTCTCTGACAATTCATGCCCCTTGTCTAGTTCATAATTTAGTTTATGTCTCATCAACTTTAGGAAAATTCTCTTGATTAAACTCACCTCTGCCTGATTGCCCTCTACCTGGCACCTGCTCTACATTTAAGTAATCATTTACTTATGCACGCAGTGGTGTGCAGGTAAATGTTTAACATCCAGCACTTAAAAAACCAGACCTGATCTGTAGCTTTTGCTAGTTTCTGTGGTGTAAATGCTTTAACCATAACCAATTGTAAGCTATCAATGGCTTACAATATTCCTGAAATTTTAACAAATGATTCCAGCACATTAAACTATTTCCACTTGAGAGCAAAGGTGATACCACCTATTTTTTCTACATATACCAACTGCACCCAGTGCAGCTCAAAGTAGAAACTCAAATGCTGAGTGACTTGTAGATGTATCCAAAGATAAATAGTGTATGTTGCTAAAAACAAATTAAATTATCTCCAAGCTCTTCTGGGCAATAAAATTCTATTATCCTAAGAAACTATACAATCTCTAAGTTCTGATCCTTCTAGAATTCATAGATACTTAAAAGACAGCAGTGATTAGAGAGGCTGGGTAGCATAATTTCTGGTCTTACAGCCAGGAAGAGAGAAAGAGAAGAACATTCACTGAGCACTTCCACTATGCCAACTACTGTACTGTGTTATGTACTTTACTTACTAATCTCATTTAATGCTCATAATCACTTTACCTATATATTCTATCTACTTTGCTGTTGATCTCTAAAGTTCTCCTCCTTCTATGTTATTCCTCTTCTGATATTTCTTGGGTTCCTTTAAAGTTTTGTTTTTATTCAGTTCCACATTTCAGAGATAATACGGCATCAAAAATTGTGGTGCAGCATAAAGAGCATGGGCTGTGGAGTTAGACCAGGTTCTGAATTCCAGCTCTATATAACCTAAAGCAAATATGTTAAGATCTGTGAACTTAAGTTCAGATCTCTAAAGTGAGAACAAGAATACATACCTCATAAGGTATACCTCAGAGGGAGGGACTGAATGCGAAAATGTACCTAACATGTCTAGTGACATGTATATTTCAAAATAAGTAAATAAATTAATTAAAATTAAAATTAAAAAATGCTACTTTCTCTTGTTTCTCCACCATCACAAAGCTTCTGAATCACTGGACTAATACGTTCTATTTTGATTCCAAGCATACATTTTTATAATGCCTTATAGACAGTCCCGTTACCTGAGTTCTATTTCAGTCTCTAGGCTTTCAATCTGCTTTGTAATGGAATCCTCTGATTCAGAAACTTGACCATGCAGTTCAGCAACTGAGAATGTGCGCCTCTGTAAAGAAGAATAGTGGGAATGAGGGTGAAGTACTAAAAGGAAAGTAACCCTCCAAAGCAGTGAGGGTGTCTGGGGAGTCTGATAATTGGTCAAATATTTCCATAAGGGCACTTACCCGGAATTTAGAAGGTAGATTCTCCCCAGATTCCTTTTGTTCTTTGAGTTGAGCCAGATCCTGAGCAAGGATCTTTCTATCTTCAAGAAGGTCATTCAGATGGCGTTTGGCTTCTTCAGTACTGACCATAACCTCAATTTCATTTCCAAGCCAACTCTACAAGAGTAATCAGTGATGTTGGGTTAGGGATGAGGAGTCTCTGGCCCATGCGCTAGATTCAGCTCTAGACTTAATTTCCTTTGGACCAGAGTCCAAGTAACTAGAAGTGAGATTTCCATCTGTGCCTATACTCACCAAAAATTCCAATAGCTCTCTAAGAGCCTTTAACAGCAATATCCTAAAAGGTCACAATAAAGACTTTTTGCAGAAAATCTTTCTTCAGATAGTCTACATTTCTCTGCACCCTGTCTTTATCTTCTCTATTTTCTCCTAACCTTTGTCCTTATCTAGTCATGATATAGAATTAAAGTATATTTTTCTTTATATCTGTTCTATTTAATAAATAGATATCCATTTTTAATCTTTAAAGAGGAATGAAATTTTTTTTTTAAATCTGCATTTTAATTTTTTTAAAAAAATATATCTTTATTGATTTCAGAGAGAGGAAAGGAGAGGGAGAGAGAGAGATAGAAACAACAATGAGGAGAGAGTCACTGATCGGCTGCCTAGCCCGCAACCCGGGCATGTGCCCTGACTGGGAATCGAACCCTGATCGCCTGGATCCTAGGTCGACGCTCAACCGCTGAGCCATGCCCGGTTGGGTGGAATGAAATATTTTTAAGCAAACAAAATTAACTAAATTAATTTTCAAAAAAGTAACCATGCCTGAGAATACTTTCACATCAGAAGATATACCATAATAAGAGTAGTCAAAAGAAAGCTGGAGTGGATATATTAATATCAGGTAATGTAGAATTCACATCAAAGAATTTTACTAAGAATAAAAAAAGGTAATTTCAGCCCTAGCCAGTTTGGCTCAGTGGTTGGAGTGTCAGCCCTCAGACTGAAGGGTCCTGGGTTTGATTCTGGTCAAGGGCACTTATATCAATTGCAGGCTCGATCCCTGGCCCTGGTCAGGGTGCGTGCAGGAGGCAACCAATCGATGTGTCTCTCTCACATCGATGTTTCTCTCTCTCTC